CTTAAATTTAAAGGAAAGCTAGTTTAAATACTGAAACCATGTGAGCCGGTGAACATGCCTGTGGGCGGGGCCTGTCCTGTGTTGTTGGAAGGCGGGTCCAGTCGGCTGGGGAGGGCCTTTGGGAGGACGTTCACTCCCCAGTACAGATGGCGCCTTGGACTTCTCTCCCTCTCCTTTCCTCTCTCTGAAATCAAAAGAAAAAATAAGTTAGTGGCTTGGCTGGTAGGTAGAATCTAGTCTTGGGTAAGTTTATTTTGGATTTTATGCAATTTTAAAAAAGACTTTAACTAGTTGCCATCTGAAAATCAGGAGCTGTCATGTGAAAGTCCAGATTCTGGCTTGTCCTGAAAAATTTGGAAGGTCTGGCCAGAGGGGACCCATTTTCCCACATTGTCACATCGGCTGGAGCTGAGCAGCCGCTGGCCACAGTTGCCTGCACTCCTAGGAAGAGTAGCAGGCATTAAACTAAGATTTGAGACAATCAGGAGATCCCTGTTCCTCAAAACAAGTAGTGCTGTGGCTGCTGGTTAGGCAGTCGGGAGTGGTGAGGACTGTGGCTGGCTGGAAGTGATACCTACTCATCTCCTCGGCCCGGGCCCACGTCATCCTGTCGGCGTCTGTGTTTCTGGCTGTTGCCTTGTACAGACAGCTGCGTGGCCTTGACTATCTTTTCTTTTCCTCTAGCCCCTAGGGGACCACACTCGCACCTCTTCCGAGGTGAGTCAGGCAAGCCTCGATGCCAACAAGCCTCTCCAGGAGCCACCTGCCACTCCAGTGCCACCCGGCCAGCCTCAGGACCAGGAGAACGGGCCCAGCCTGCCGCCCTCTGGGGACAGTTCCCTCCAGACTACCAAGCCCCCGGATGTGGCCGCAGGGAATGAGAATGGCCTCGCAGTGCCCGTGCCTCTCCGCAAGTCCCGGCCAGTGTCGATGGGCCCCAGAATTCAGGTGCCCGAGGAGAAGCAGGGGGCTGACCAGGCTGGCGACCTCAGTCCCGCAGCCAGCCGGCCCCGGAAGACAAGCCAGAGCCGTCCCATCAGCAGCGCCCTGGAGACCTTGGGCAGCGAGAAGCTGGCCAACGGCAGCCTGGAGCTCCCCGCCCCGGCCTCTCCTTCCAAGAGGGACTCGGACTGTGGCAGCCTGTCCACCTCCGAGAGCATGGACTACAGCACCTCCCTGTCAGCTGACCTGTCCCTGAACAGAGAGACGGGCTCTCTGTCCATCAAGGTAACGCCCTGTGTGGCGCACAGGCCGGGAGCAGGCTGTTCGGCTCCATTTGGGTTTCTGAGAGCAGTTGGTGGCTGCCTTTCGTTTCTAAGTGGCTCACCAGGATTGCTCTCTCTTTTTTAAAAAGATATTTTTATTGCCCGGCTGACGTGGCTCAGTGGTTGAGCGTCAACCCAGGAACCAGGAGTTCACAGTTTGATGGCGCTCAGGGCACGTGCCTGGGTTGCGGGCTCGCTCCTCAGTGTGGGGCGTGCAGGAAGCAGCCGATCGATGATCCACTGATGTTTCTGTCTCTCTCCCTGGAATGGGGCTTTTAGTTCGACTCAGTTTAATCTTCAAAATATCCGAGTTCATCTGTCGATCGATGATTCTCTCTCGTCACTGATGTTTCCGTCTCTCTCCCTGGAATGGGGCTTTTAGTTTGACTCAGTTTAATTTTCAAAATATCCGAGTTCATCTAGGATTTAGTCAGAGCAAACAGTTCGTTTGGGTTTAAGTTTCAACTTGGTTTCCATTTAAATTGGGTTGGTTAGAGGCCCTGGTGAAGTCGGGGAGAGGATTCTAGAAGTGGAAGTTCTCTGTTTGTGGTGACGGTGGAGTCAGGGAAAGGGAGTGGGCCGAGTTCATCTGGGATTTAGTCAGAGCAAACAGTTCGTTTGGGTTTAAGTTTTGATTTGGTTTCCATTTAAATTGGGTTTGGTTAGAGGCCCTGGTGAAATCGGGGAGAGGATTCTAGAAGTGGAAGTTCTCTGTTTGTGGTGACGGTGGAGTCAGGGAAAGGGAGTGGGCTCGGGCTGTCTCCCAGCTCAGTGGCCTTTCTGGGAGGAACTCGGTGAACGACAGGACCGCTGTGCCTCAGGGCCTGGCACTGCAAAGCGCTTTTAAAAACAACATAAAACGAAGGAGGCCCCTTCATCCATGTGCAGATGAGCAGACGGAGGCTCAGGTGGGCACTGGGGGCTGGGGAGACCCACGCTCTGGGCTGAGCCCCGCATGCCGTTCTGCCTTCCCCGTTGGGGCTGTGGCCTCGTGCTTGTCCTCCAGTCCCGGAGGGCTGGCGCCTCCGACAGATCTCGGGCTGCTCTCGCCCTCACTGTCACCGCCGATCACTTCCTTGCCTGGGCCACACTGAGGTCCCCCTCCAACCAAGGCCGAGGTTAGGGAAGTTCCTGTATCTTTTTGGTTTTTCCTTTCATTGTTTACTTGGTGAAAACATACAGTAGAAAGTCAGAAGTACTTGCCCACGGGAAGGGACTGAAGCAGCCACTGCACATGGCTCTGCGGCAGGAGAAGGAGCAGTGCTGAGGCCGCCAGGACAGGGGCAGGCAGCAGCTCCGATGGGTCGCTGCCTCGGGCCCATCCTAGGACAGGAGCCTGTCTCTCCTCCTCTTAAAGCAGCGGTTCTCAACCTGTGGGTCGCGAACAATGAAAATACATCCTGCCTATCAGATATTTACATGACGCTTCATAACAGGAGCAAAATTACAGTTATGAAGTAGCAATGAAAATAATTATGGTTGGGGGTCACCACAACATGAGGAACTGTATTAAAGGGTCGCGGCATTAGGGAGGTTGAGAACCGCTGTTAAAGAGACTGAGGGAGTGGAGAAGAGCCATCTCCCAGAGGAGGGGCCCGCCCCTTCCCGAGGTCGCTGGGAGCACTTCCCGCTGGCTGATGGCAGAGAGTCAGGGACGTGGCTGTTCTGATGAGTCCACCGGGGCTGCCTCAGACGGGCGGCCCTGTGACCATCGTGAATTGAGTCCTAGGACACGTGAGCTGGACACTGTGGGGAGAGGGGTCGGGGTGGCTGTTCAGGGTGATGATGTCCAGAGCCCCTGCGTCCCGACAGCAGGAGCCGGGTCCGAGCGCCGAGGGCACCGGGACTGACTGAGGGGAGCACCGTGCCCTCCACTCCCCCTCTGGGCTGGGGGCCCCAGGGCAGGTGGAAAGGCAGGGCTGGGCACAGCAGGAGGGCGGAAGCCAGCTGAGAGGTTAGGGAGGGAGCGACCTTGCGGACCCCAGTGCAGGCGCAGGGCCTCAGCGGACCCGGGAGAACTGGCCGAGGGCCGTGAGCAGCTCCCGCAGTCTGGGCGGTGCTCTGCCAGCCTGAGAAATGCTGATTATTCACAGGAAAAGATAACGATTATGAATAAGCTCCTGGTGCCTCCAGACGGGTGTGGCCCCGTGGAGTTCAGGTCAGATCAGGCGTGGCTGCCAAATCCCTTATGAGCCTGGTTTTCCGGGCGCTGGGTTTTGGCGTGTGACACCAGACTGTGCCTGCAAACACCACGTGCTGCACAGTTGCCAAGAGCCGGCGCTGTGCACAGCCCCGCGTTTTCTCACTGAACCACCTGGGGGGCAAGCACTGCTTTTCTCCTCCGACAAGACCAGGAAGCTGAGGCTGACGGGACAAGGGGCCTGCCCAGGGTCATAGAGCCAGTAGGTAGCAGAGGATTAGAAATGTCCCGTGTGTGGGAGTGCTGGCCGCTGGGGGGGACGGCATGGGGCAGTGTCTGAAGGCCAAGGTCAGGGAGGGGGTGGGGGTAATAAGTCAGACACTCACAGCCCTGGGTCGAGAAGCTTGAATTAAAGGGACGGTGGGCAGCCGCGTCCTCCCGGGCGTGCGGCCACACCGCGCCACCCACGGACTCTTAGCGGAAAGGCTGAGCTCTGCCCGATGATTGCCCTGCCAGGACTCCAGGCTGCACAATAAGACCCTCAAGAGGACACGCAAGTTTGTGGTGGACGGCGTGGAGGTGAGCATCACCACCTCCAAGATCATCAGCGAAGATGAGAAGAAGGACGAGGAGATGAGATTTCTCAGGTAAGTGGGGGAGGGGCGCTGAGGGAGCCAACGGGATGGGGTGGGGTGGTGAGAGAGCTGTCTGCAGCATGAAGCGAAGGATCAATGAGACAAAAGGAAACTGCTTTTGCTTGAGATGCTGCACTCCCCAGCCCACCCATTCCCTCACCCATCTCCCTATTCCACCCACCCACCCTTCTATCCATTCATCTATCCGTCATCCGTCCACCCATGCATGTATCCACCCACCCACCAGGTTGGGAGACATGGTGACCCATATAGTTGGGGCTGTTGGCTTTGTAGAACGTATACCTAATGGGCCAACACCCAACACACAAGGTAATTCCCAGTTGTGGTTCTTGTGAAGGAGGTAAGAGGTGATGACAGTGAGCGCCTGGGCTGGGGGAGGCTGCTCCGAGGGAACCCCCTGAACAGAAGCTGCAGGGTGAGAGGAGCTGCCCACCCGCAGCCCGTGGGCTGACCGCTCGGCTGGCTCGGGAGCTGAGAGGACGGGTGGGTGTGGTCCCCGGAGTCCTCAGGGCCTGTGGGTCAGGGCGGGAGAGTGTGGGTGCTACCCCAGCGGGAGTGAAACAGCTGGAGAGCGCGCAGCTCTCATGCCCCGTGTGGAAGGTGGCTCTGGCTGGGGGGTGAGGCTAGGCTGTAGAGGAGACCCCTTCAGGACAGCGGCCGGAAGAGGTGGTCAGACTTCACGTACATTTTGGAGCAAAACCCATGAGACTGGTGTGGGGAGGAGGGTGTGAGGCAGTGATGGCGAACCTATGACACGTGTGTCAGAGGTGACACGCGAACTCATTTTTTTGAGTGATTTTTCTTTGTTAAATGACATTTAAATATATAAAATAAATATCAAAAATATAAGTTTTTGTTTTACTATGGTTGCAAATATCAAAAAATTTCTACATGTGACACGGCACCAGAGTTAAGTTAGGGTTTTTCAAAATGCTGACACGCCGAGCTCAAAGGTTCGCCATCACTGGTGCGAGGCGAAGCCATCTGCTAGGGAGCCATCTCTGCACTTCTGAGGTGCTCAGGCCCCGAAAGCCTTCCTCAGGGAGACCCCGTCTCGCCATTTTGTAAACGAGGAGACTGCTTCTTGGCAGGCCAGTCACCGACCCGGTCACCCAGGTGAGAGGGTGGAGCTGAGGCCTGGCGGAGGGAGGATTCTGGAGGCTTCCGTGCAGCTTCCTGGGGCTGCTGGGCATCGGGGAAGGCAGGAGGCCTGGTGCCCTGGAGCCCCGGAGCCCCCTTGGGGCCAGGCCTGTGCAGGTAAATTCACTTTTGGTTTAGAGAACATTTCTAGAACATCAGACACATTCATGTTTTTAAAAAGCACCAACAGCCCAAAGCCAGCGCGAGCAGTTCGGGCTGCCTGGGGCCACTTGGCCCTTGTAGGAAGCAGGTGAGGGAGGCAGACGTATCCGTGTACACACACACACACACACACACACACGCGCGCGCGCGCGCGCGCGCGCACACTTTGGTGTCATCTGTGTGGGTTGGGCCACTGGGGAGGGACCGGCTGCTGTCGGGATGCCACCTCCTGTTTGAATGGTCCCCCGGGAGGTGACTTGCACTCCTCCGGCTTCAGACCCCAGGGGCTGGCTCTCTGTCTCCCCTCCGGGAACTTAGGTTTCTGGGGTTGAACCTGCAGGCTCACCACCCAGTCTGGAAGCGATGCCGTCTGGCCCGAACAGAGGAGCCGTGTGCTTGCGGCTCAGGCTCGGAAGGGGAGACCTGGCCGAGGTGGAGGAGAGGTGCTCTCCAGCAACAAGGCTTTCTTGTTTGCCTTGGTCCTGAGGTCTGAGCAGCCGGCAAGCGTGGCCAGGCCACAGGGGTGGAAGGCGCCGGTCGTCCCCAGCTGGCCACAGCCCTCGTCACCCTGGGTCCCAGCATTTCCGGAAGATTGGGCAGGCAGGCGTCAGGACCATGGGACTGACTCACACTCTCCCAGATCGAGGCTTCTAGGCCCGGTTCAACAACTGCGGGTGCTGGTTGTTTCCTTCCTCCGCCACCTGCCTGTCTGCCCGCCTTCCCTGTGAGAGAGGGCGGGGCAGGAGGTGAGGGCAGAGCTGGCTGTGGATCCCTTTGTCTTTTGGTCAGTTGTTCTGGAAGCCTGTTTCTCTTGAGGCAAGATTTCCATTTCTTTGTTGAGACTCTCAAAGCCGGTTCCTGCCTTCTCCTTCCCGGAGGGAGGGCAGAGACTCAGCCGAAGCTCCTCTACGCGCGGCTGTACAAATGTCTCCGCTTTTCCCAGAGGCCTTTGGCTCTGCTTCCTCATTGTCATTCGAGACGTCACCATTAGGGAGTGTGTGCTGTGTGCCAGGCAGGCAGTGCAGGTATCACCTCATTTAACCCTCCAAGAACCTGAGAGGTGGAGATGATCTGCCCCATGTGACAGCCGCCTGCGAGGCTGAGTGAGGCCGAGGGCGCCCAGCTGCAGAGTCGGCAGAGCTAAGATTCGAACTCGGTCCCTCAGACCCCAGATGTGGCCTCTCCTCCTACAGCTGTTGGCGGGCTCCCCGAGCAGCTCTGCCCTCTCCGAGCTGCGAGGAAGGGGTCGGTGGGGACCCCGTGGGGCAGCCTGCAGACCCTGGGCGAGAACAGGACACAGCTGCCGGAGAGCCCCATTCAGTCGCAGGCCCAGTTCTTCCCCCATCATTTTAATTTCTTCTTCTTTTCTGATTATATAAACGACACATACCAGTTTTCAGTGGACTTGCTCAGAAAGAGCCACAGTAAACATTTGGGGGTTTGTCAGTGTTTATATTTCTGTGAATCTATACACTGGCAATACACAGGTTACAAATCAAGGTGTGCATTGTAAATAGGAAATAGGATATGGTTCAAAACTCAGAAAAAGCGGGGAAACAGTGAAAAATCTCCCTCGTTCACTTTCCTGCCAGGCGCCCAGTCCCCTCCTGGTGTTGCTACTTTTTGCTGTAATCCTTCCAGAAATACAGTGTGTAGATAGGAAAGTAAACTCACATACCCCTGTGCACACACATACACTCTTTTCCCCCACCCACATGGTAGGGTTGCCTAATAGATCCACCTGTCAACAGAGATCATCCCATCTCTCTCATAAAGAATTGCTGCATTTTTAATAGATGTTTTAAAAGATATTTTAATAGATGTGTAGAAGATGTTAATCTTTTAAAGCCTGATTTTTAATTACATCAGATGGCTATGTTTTCGTTTAATTAGACCTATACTGAGGGACTGTTACTGACATCCTTGTTCACCGTTGTTGTGCACGTGTGAATGCTGCTTCAGAATATTATCCCCAAGTGGAACTCTTATCTCAAAGGGCACAAACGTATTGCCAAACTGTCCTCCAGGAATGTTGTACCACTTTATACCTCAGCCGGTTACAAAAGTACCGATTTCCCCTATAATCTCACCTGCTTAATTAATTAGAATGGTACTCCTTTTTAATTTACATTTCATATCTATATACGTTATTTAAACATTTCTTGTCTTCTGTTTCATGTCTGTTCACGTTCTGTGTCACTGTTTACATGTAGGATATTCCTGTTTTACTGATTTGTAAGGACTCTTTCATATTAAGGTTATGAGTGTTTTGTCCGCCCATAAATGTCAAAAGGAGCCCGAGTTCTAACGCTGCCTCTGCCCCAGTGCGGTGCTGCTCCACCTCCAGCCTTCAGTGCCCCTCGCTGTGAGTTCTGGGATCTCTGAGGCCACATTCTGACTGCGGTGTCCACGCCTTTTAACCCTCAGGCGCCAGGAACTCCGAGAGCTTCGGCTGCTCCAGAAAGAGGAGCATCGGAACCAGAACCAGCTGAGCAGGAAGCACGAGCTGCAGCTGGAGCAGATGCATAAACGTTTTGAACAAGAAATCAACGTGAGTGTGAGGACAGACGGGCCCCGGTGGGCTCCTTGCTTCCGTTTTTCTTTAGCAGAAGCTGCAGTGGGGGCGATCGCGCAGCGGAGCGTGACCCACCGTTGTCCAGCCCCCCTGCTTTCCCGGTCTCCTTAGGCTTTGACTTGTACCACAGAATCACCTGCAGGTCACAGAGCCTCTCTGAGTCACGCCGGAGCGTCTCAGAGGGAACTAGTCTGTGCTGAGCACCAGGCAAGAACCTGCAAGGTAGATGGTCTGTCCCCCTTTTGCACGTGAGGAAAGAGAGACTCAGAGAGGTCAAGCGACTTGTCTCAGGTCACACAGTGAAGAGGTGACGGAGCTGGGATTTCAGCCCAGGCCTGAGGACACGTTCCGGCCTCTTCCCATCCTGCTCCCCATCTTCCTCCCAGCGACTTATGAAGTGACTTTGCTGAACTCTTCTCTCTGCTCCTTGCAGGCCAAGAAGAAGTTCTTTGACACGGAGCTGGAGAACCTGGAGCGTCAGCAGAAGCAGCAGGTGGAGAAGATGGAGCAGGACCACGCTGTGCGCCGCCGGGACGAGGCCAAGCGGATCCGCCTGGAGCAGGAGCGGGACTACACCCGGTTCCAGGAGCAGCTCAAGCTGATGAAGAAGGAGGTGAGTGAGTGTTGGGCGGAGGCCGGGTGTCCAGGCGGACGAGGACCCTCTCGGTTATAAGCGATGGAAACCTTAGCTCAGCCTCGCCCCAGCCCAGAGGGAATTTGGGGGAGCTCGTTTTCCTGCAGAGCCCCCGTCCAGGTATGTCTGGATCGACGTGCCCCGGCCGCACAGGAGGAGCCACTCCTGTGTCACCGGGCTCTGCTCTCTGTGTGGCCCCGGCTCCAGGCAGGCCCTCGCCACATGGTCTCGGGCAGTTTCCTCTGCACCTCCAGCTTCCCAACTCCCAGCTGAGAGAGCCGGGGAGAAGGAAGGATGGCGGCCCCGGGAATTTGAGATGCTGTTACCAGCAGGGGGCGTGGGTGCCGGGTGGGCAAACGCACGTGTCCTCCATGCCCCCCTCTTTTCTCCCAGAAGAGCAGGTCCTGAGTTTGTACCCATGCAGCCTCTCCCTTTCCCCAAACCCAGCTGGAAGGGGGAGGTGGCCAAGAGGGAGATGGTCCTGAGACAAGGGGAGGGAGGGGGCTTTCAGCCTGCCCCGGGGTCCCAAAGAACAGCCCACACGCCCCTAGGTGAGCCAGACACGGGAGGCTGCGACACTTGTGCTTTCCTAGGCTCTCAGGAGGGAGGAGGGAGACAGGAGGTGGAAGCCCCCAGGGTGGGCACACCAACCCAGGCCATTCCCAATCTCCAGATGGGAGCAGCGGGTGGACAGCCTCTAGGGGGGTCCACGGTACGGGCCAGGGGGGTGTGGTGGGGGGCTCAGAGCCCAGCTCCCAGACTGCACTGTGATGGGCATGGCATTTGGTGTCACCAAGGGGACCTGAGGGAGCAGGGCGGGGGCTGGGGTAGGACCAGTGAGGCACTCACCTCAGGCACGCGGTTTAAGAGGGTGCCAAACAAACTCGGGAATCAAGGCATAATATTCTAATGCAGTGGTTTAAAGTAAAAATTCGAGCAACATCTTCATAATGAACAGAATGTCAGCTATTTAAAATAAAAACAGGATCCGACAGGACCAGGATTAAGGTGAGGCAGTGAGGCTGAGTCCTTCGAGTGTAGGGCTGGATCTTGTCTGCACTTAAAATTTTGACATTTTTTTCATGAGTTTTTGTCATGGATGTTGTTTTTAAGATGCTAATTATTTTGCGTACTGAGTTTTTTGGCGTTTCGGAGAAGCGGGGGCGCTAAGCCTGTCCCCAGCTCCAGTGCCGGGGGCACGGGCTTGGCTTCAGTGAAAGGTTTGGTAGCTTCTTTCAAGGAATTGGTCTATTTCATCTAAGTGGTTACATTTATTGGCATAAAGCTATTCGTAGTATTCTGTAGTATCCTTTAAGTAGCTGTAGGATCCGTAGTGATGTTCTCTCTTTCATCCTCTTGTGATAATGTGTGTCCTAGTCTCTTCCTCCTCCCTCTCCTCCTCCCTCTTCTCTTTCTGTCAATCTGGCTAAAGGTTTGTTTTATGGACCTTTTCCAAGAGCCAGCTTTTGGTTTCATTGACTTTCTGTTTTCAGTGTTACAGATTTCTGCTTTCCTATCTGGTTTGGGTTTAAATTGCTCTTCTTTTTATAGTTTCTTCATGTTGAAGCTTAGATCATTGGTTTGCGACTATTCTTTTCTAATGTCAGCATGTGATGCTGTGTGTCCCGCTAAGCACTGCCTTAACCTCGTTCCACAAATCGTGATGTGTTGCATCTTTTTTTATTCGATTTGATTAATATCTTAATTCCTATGTAACTTCCTCTTTGATCTGTGGGTTAAGGTTTGCCTCAGAGTTTAATTTTGAAATGTTTTTGGATTTTCATATCTTTCTGTTAATTGTTTCTAGTTTAACTTCATTTTAAATAATATATTTTTTTAAATTTCAGT